CCAGGCTGAACAGCCCCAACTCTCTCAGCCTGTCTTCATAGCAGAGGTGCTCCAGCCCTCGGATCATCTTTGTGGCCCTCCTCTGGACTTGTTCCAGTAGCTCCATGTCCATCTTATGTTGGGGACTCCAGAGCTGAACACAGTATTCCAGGTGGGGTCTCATGAGAGCAGAGCAGAGGGGCAGAATCACTTCCCTCGACCTGCTGGCCACACTCCTTTTGATCAGCCCAGGATATGGTTGGCTTTCTGGGCTGTCAGCGCACATTGCCGGCTCTTGTTGAGCTTCTCATCCACCAGCACTCCCAAGTCCTTTTCCTCAGGGCTGCTCTCAATCCATTCTCCGCCCAGCCTGTACTTGTGCATGGGATTGCCCCGACCCACGTGCAGGACCTTGCACTTGGCCTTATTGAACTTCATGAGGTTCTCACAGGCCCATCTCTCCAGCCTGTCAAGGTCCCTTCTGGATGGCATCCCTTCCCTCCAGTGTGTCCACAACACCACACAGCTCGATGTCATCTGCAAACTTGCTGAGGGTGCACTCAATCCCACTGTCCATGTCTCCAACGAAGATGTTAAATAGCACTGGTCCCAGTACCGACCCCTGAGGAACACCACTCGTCACTGGCTTCCACATGGACATTGAACTGTTGACCACAACTCTTTGAGTGCGCCCATCCAGCCAATTCCTTATCCACCGAGTGGTCCATCCATCAAAACCACGTCTTTCCAGTTTAGGGATAAGGATGTCGTGTGGGACAGTATCAAATGCTTTGGATAAGTCCAGGTAGACAATATCAGTTGCTCTTCCCCTATCCATCAATGCTGTCACCTCATCATAGAAGGCCACCAAATTAGTCAGGCAGGATTTGCCCTTAGTGAAGCCATGTTGGCTGTCACCAATCACCTCCTTATTTTCTATGTGCCTTAGCATAGTCGCCAGGAGAATCTGCTCCATGATCTTGCCGGGCACAGAGGTGAGACTGACTGGCCTGTAGTTCCCTGGGTCTTCTTTTTCTCCTTTTTAAAGATGGGGGCTATGTTTGCCCTTTTCCAGTCATTGGGAACTTCACCAGATCGCCACGACTTCTGAAATATGATGGATGGTGGCTTAGCAACTTCATCTGCCAGTTCCCTCAGGACCCGCGGATGCACCTCATATGGAGAAGTATCTCTTACAGCATTTTCTATCCTGACAGTTCCTTATAACTTTGCCTTTTCTTGTCCTGCCTGGAGCTGCTGGCACTCAACGGCAGGCGTTTTGCCTTTAACATACTCCCTGCAGTCAACTACAGCCACTTAATGGTGTTTTGAAATCTGGTGACTTCGTTTGTAGCAAATCTCAGTTACTTGCTTCTGAACCTACCTGACCAGTCACTCTGTGTCGTCTGAGGAAACTCAATGAAGTCAATCTGTGCCATATCTGCATCAAGTACTGATGATAGATGTTAAGATTGTCACGTTTTAGGATAGCTGTACACTTTGTTTTCTTTTTCCATAATGTTTGAAAGATAATATGAATTACACCACCGTAGTGTCCCACAGTTGCTGGAATTTGAGTGGTTTGAAAGGCACAACAGGATTTGATGACTGCTTATGGGCAAGCAATAAAGTGCTTGGTTTGTTTCTTATCTAGCAGTCATTTTTCTACCATACTGACCTATGAAGAAGTGCAGTTCCAAACCAAAAATTTGCAGTGACAATAGAGTATGAGATGCAGAGAAGACTTGTTCTGATTTCGTGAGGGTTGATTCAAACAGTTTCCTTTTATAGTGGAGAAACCACGACTTAATACCATCCATCAGAGTGCGATAGAGATGGAAGGTTATTGCAGAGTGATACAGGAAGGAAAGTGGAACTAAACTGTTGGCTGTAAACATCGTTTTAGGTTTTGGCTCAACTTCCTGCTGTGATTGCAATAGAAAGATGTGGAAGTCATAGAAGGATTGATGGCTGCTTTGGTATGGTCACTGCTTCCAGAACTGTGTGGCACTTTTGTAGCCAATTCATTATTGAAAGGGAATTTTCTGGAATGCCAGAGATTGACTATTTTATATTACTTCATCTGTATGTCTCATCTGTTAGTGGTTTTGAGAATGGGAATACTCCAAGCAGAGAAACACCGCATCATTTTCTTGTCTATCATGGATACCCAATAACTGGATTTGATTAGACTCTTTTGAGGATACACACCTCAACCTTCACAAATTTTATGAGATACTTACTGGTCATGGGCAACACCAAAGTCTCAGATTTTTACTTGGGTGTCATGTATAACACTTGCAATGAATAAGAATGCTGCTTAGGAATTTTTCTGCTATAATACCAAAATCTCAGAGATCCAGAATTAGACTGCCTGCATTTTTTCCATTATAATTAAACAGCCATGATATCTTGCTCAGAGAATTAGTATGGATAGTGTGCCCAGTATAGGATGAGTGTTTTCTACAGGGACACTGATTTAATACAATTCACAGGGAGTTTTTCTCCGTCTCTACAAAGGCAATGGGTAAGAAAATGGAAAAAATCAAACGCAGATGAGAAAATGGAATGTTATATGTGGTAAAATAAAGAAACAGACGTTGACTTAATAACATCCAAGAAACACTTCTAACGAAGCTCCAGGATTCCAGAGTGTTAATCTCATTAGTTTCATATTATTATCCAACTATCAGCTCCTGAACCCTTATGGAATCACAGAAATTCATGTCAGATACTGAATCAGGTTAGAAATTTAAATTAATTATTGAAAAGTGGCTCCAGTTTCTTATTTGAACTTAGTTGTGATTTACTGTACTGAATTACTGACTCGCCAAATTCTCTTTTATTGTTGCCTGTCATTATGCTGCTGAAGAAGTCCAGGTTTTTCCATAAAACCTGAAGATGTATTTATTTTCAGCAAGGATTACCATTCCTGCCAGTGGAATCCCAGTAGTTTTGCCTAATTGTAATGTGACTGTAAATATGTGATTTCCATGGAAATTAATTTAGTCACAGGAATTTTTGTCTTTTTTTTTTTTTAATATTGGTGGTTTTGCTTAATGTGATTGCCAAACACATGTATTGTTTAAAGAAAAACTTGATTAACATTAGAGTAGATTATTTATACTGAACTGCTCAGTATACGTATATATTGCTTTTCTAGATGAAGCAAGAGCTGCTTGACTGTCTCCCTTGGGTTTGTGCTGTTAGCAGATGAGGAAGAACCTCCTTTAGCTCAAACAGGATATGTGCTGTTGAGATCATGCCCTGTTATGCCCTAGTGGCAGTAATTTCGTAGCAACACCTTAATGCAATATTTTTTCAAAGTTTTAATCAAATGGTTCCATATTCTGTGCAAATTGCCATTAGGTTTATTTAAGTTTTAAATACCTTTTTTTAAAAGAACTTTTCTCGTAATGTTATTCAAGGGTGGGATAATGTTTATGTGAAATTTCCAGATCCAAACTTGTGCATACAATTTTAGTGCTGACCCTATATTTTAAACTTTTCATGTTTTACTCTTTTTTTTCCATATGAGATTGACAGTATTCAAGTTATGTTGTGTTTTTTTTTGTTTGTTTGTTTTTTTTCCTGTTGCCAATGGGCTGTGAACTTGAATTCAGTGTTTATATAGTTTTTGTGTAGAAATGTCTTCAGTGTTTTTGGGGGTTTTGAGGGTTTTTGTTGTTTTTATTATAAGAAAGTATTTGAAAATGCCATATGGCAATGTTAAGCAAGGAATCTAGAGACAATACTATTATGAAATGCATCTAAGAACTGGAGGATGCATAGGAGTAATATTAAATGAGTTTAACTTAGTATTAACTTTCTTTTTAGGCATAACATTATTAGCACACCAGGGCAATTTTGTACTTGTTAGATATTGGCATACGAGTCTAGTGCCAGGAGTCTGGAGTTTCCTTATTTTATTTTATTTTTTAAATACTGCCATGTTCCTCCCTTTGATATTTTTTAGATGTGTTTGAGATGCCGTATGCCTCTTGAAGTTAACATAGACACCTACCTATACTAGAAAAAGGGAATTGTTTGCTCCCTGTTGGTAGTGCAGCCTTGGTACACAGTGGGTCCAAGGCAGCAAAGTAACACAGCAAATTGTTTCCAAAAAATGTAGTGACTGGCATTAACTTTGAGACTGTTACCACGAGGTTCATCGAAAGTTACTTACCCATGGTGTTGAACTGACTTAGATATATCAGCTAAATGATAGAAATTGTTCATCTGATGCAACTGCATGGTTTATTTTCAAAATACAGTATATAGAGATTTCAAAGTACTACAGGACATGTCAGTTTGAATTGTCTCATTAGCTACAAGGATGAGAAAACATTGAAATGGATGATAAAATTGAACCGTTTGAGAAACATCTAGTATTCATATCAGAAAATCAGTTTTGATAACGCAGTGAAACAGTAGATGTAAGAAATGTAAACTCGTTTCTGCATAAAACCCCAAGTTTTAGTGTATGTTAGCCAAGTGTAACTCAATTCAAATTTGCAGCTATTCCTTCCTTGATGTGTTCTCATGTTTATAATTTGTCCAGATGACCTGTGTTTCTGATCAGTGCCTCTTTTATAAAAAGAATGGTCAAGTATGGTGTTGTGAGTGATGTCATGCTGCTGACCTGCATAATGACAGTAAAATAAAATTCATGTTTCAAATGTGTTACCTTTTTACTGCCTTCCTTGTGGGACCAATTTTTTTTCCTCCCTAGCTGATTGCTCAGCAAAGACTTCTCTTGAGATATCTGGAGAGAGATGAAGCCCTTTCCCCTGGTCTTTTATTCTTAACTTAGAATTGAGTAAAGCATATTAGTAGTCTAATTATGATTTCTAGATAATTTATATGAATGTAAAGATACAAAATATAACAGAAATATATTAGTAGATGTATAAATCATATTATACTTGTATCCAAAATCTGGCTGCAAACGTTAATAGCTTTTCAATAATACACAATTATATATTACTTTTACTGTAATGCACAATTTTTTGTCTTTCTAGGTATGGCATGAACTGCCTCATTCAATTTGAGGATTTCGCTAATGCTAATGCATTCCGCCTCCTGCATAAGTACCGGAACAAGTATTGCACTTTCAATGATGACATTCAAGGTAAGTGATTCTTTCTCTTCTCTTCGCTTATGTGACGCTCACAAGCCAGAAAAATGAGTCTTAACTGGTGTGCCAGAGGGAAGAAAAAATTATCAGCTTTCCTGTGATATTTGAAGATGTTTGGTACGGGTCACATTTTGCCTTGGGTTTCCTCAGCATGGGTTTCTGGGGAGCTGTCTTTGCTCTTAACCTTTCCACTCTCATTTATGCCTCATGCTTTATTTAGATGTTCACTCTTCAGGGTTTTTTTTTAATAGTTTAATGTATGAATGGCTTTCTCATATAAATTGTTAACTTCAGATCTTTGGGCAAATGCCAAAGCTCAGGCCTGGACTGTACTTCCCTCAGTTTTTTTGTCACTCCAGTGACAACTGCTCCGTTGTTTTTCTGTGTGACAGAGCTTGCTTGATAAATGTCAGACTGTATTTCAGTTCTTAAACTGACAACTCAGTTAAATATATTTCTAATTTTCCTTGCAGTCTCAGGGCTGCATTCAATTTTAGAGGGAAATTAGCCCCCTGATTCTGCTTTCCCGTCTGGCAAAAGGAAAAGATCTAGGATGGGAAACGTCAGCAAGGGAGATTCCCCCAGTGCTTAATCTAGACAGGCATCTTGTCCCTTTCCTCCTGAGAAGAAAGACAAGCAGAGCTGAAGTGGCGGATGCTGCTGCTTGGGTTGCCTTATTTCCTGTCAGGAAAAGAGCACTGGAAAATAACTTTCTGTAGGGCAGTAAGCACACTGGCTCCCATCCTTGTGAGGAGACTGAAGTCAGATGAACTTCTGGAGCGAGCTACCCAGGGAAGGCCCTGGGCATACAGCTGCCTCTTACCCCCTCACGTTTCCTTGGGCAGGTGGAGGTCCTCAGCAGTGACAGGATGAAAAATGGAAGTTTAACTGTCTTCATTTCTAACAGTTTGCAGTGATGCTTTAAACCAAGCATTAGGAGCTTGAGTTTTCCAGAAGTCATTCTTGAGTCGTTCTTAGGACCTAGGTCTTATTTCAGGGACTCAACGCATGACAGTTGATTCAAACAGCCCTTGTCTTTCTGCTGTTAGGGATTTGGCTAGCCACATGAACTATGTTTCTGTTACAAGCCTGGCTGAGTTTTACTCCTGCATCTGAAACAGATTATGGAGGACAAACTCCCAAATGGGAAATAAACTAATTATAAAATATCATTTCCCTTTGTAAGAAGCATGGTGCTTCTTACCCTGCAGGATCTGAGTGTAGCCATGGCTACGACAATCCAATACAGCACACCAAACAGCGTCTGGAAGTTTCTCTTGTTGTTTAGACACCCAGCTCCCACACGAATTCTCTTTCCTTGCAGGACAAAGGTCCTCACTCTAAATCAGAAAGAGACTCAACTTGAATGTAGTTTTAAAGAAACGGAAGAGGAGCTTTTCAGCAAAAGCGCAATAAAAATGAGTAAACTAATCTGGGAAAGTCTTCAATGTCTCCAGATGCATTTTTAAAACCACTGCATCCTTTCTGATGCGCCTTGAAAGGAGGTGTCTTCATGTTCAAAAACTGTTTGAAAGTGTCCGTTTGGCTTTTGACTGAGCTGCCGTAGCAGCTGTCAGTGTTGTTTACAAGTGTAGCCACATGCAGTCTTTTAATTTATTCAGTTTCTGCAATCTAATTTAATCTAATTTGTGTTTGTGGGTATTCTGTATTTTCATGAATGATGTCTGGGACTTTTGGGTGATCTCCATCCTTAATGCTTGTCTAGCTTCCAAGAGGTGAAAGCGGATGCATTTAGTCTGCGCTGATCTCTTGTTTGTTGTCATATCTCCATAAATCAGCATCTTTTTTTGTAGGACGCCATCTTCCCCTGTAACGTGGCATTGGAATAGCAACAGCCCAAATATAGATCCAGTGATCTTTTCTAACTCTTTCTGTTCCAGCTTTATGAACTATAAGGATCTTCCACCTGACAACTGTAATGAAGATAAATGGTGCTAACTTCTTCAGCAATCCTTAGAGATTTTCAGCTTCTAAATGGGATGATTTTTTCCAGGCTACTTGAAAGAGTGGCATTCTCTGTATGCAAGTTGTATTTCCTACCCCTACCGCAGTAAAGCTGGCAAGTAGCGTCAGGCCAATAAAAGCAAACCCACACAGCACTGCATCTGATTTGCCGTCGTCTTCTGAAGACGGTGCCTACGTGATATTTTAAACACGGTTTCTCCTAGTCCAAATATCTGTCAAACCAAAGCTACTTTAATGATCGAAAGACATGTTTCATATGTTTCACGGAAGGGCTCGAGGCTTTTTTCACTGCCGTAGGATATCCAAAGGGTTCCTATATGTCCTAGTGATGCAATGAGGACCTTTAAGTACCTCAAATCTAAAGAAACTAATATACAATCCTGACTCCTGCCAGACACTATAAAAGATAAAGAGAACATGGCAAGCTGAGTACCCATTTGCAAGTAGTAACTCGAACAAATGCAGTTGCCTTCTGTTAGCTCGCAGCTATTTGCAGGGTGTCAGCGTGCCCCTAACTGACGCCATCGCAGAACATTGGAAAAAATCGTCTGCCAAAACACTGATCTTATAAAACCACTAAAGACTGGCCATTAAGAGTCACCTATAGATGTATTTAAGAATTTCTGGAAACAGTTTTGTCTCTATCCCTGCTACGGCACAGTCACATCCTTTACTTAGGAAAAAGCTATGTAACTTTTTCTACATCGCCTCTCTATACTCAAGGAATTGGGAGCAAAGGCGAACAGGATTCTGACCAACTGCGGTAAATCTGTATTGGAATAATAAAACTGCTCTTACTTTCTCATTCTAGAAAGTATCTTCATTTTTGGATGGGTGGTGAATTTTTTTCCCGCTGCATTTATCATCAGTTTTTCATATTTATATTTTCAAAATATTTTATTTACAAGCACAATAGCATTAATGTTGCTTTAGGAAGAAAATATTCACTTTTTTCCTTGCATTCTTGTTTGTTTTTATTCTGACCACAAATGAGATCGCTTCTTTTTTTTTTTTTCCCTCTTTGAAACATATAGAATATGATTTTTGGAAGTGAAAATCAGTGAAAATCTTGAATTCAAAAACCGAAAATTTTTGTCTGGCTCTCCCTGTTAGAGAGCATTTTCCAAAATTGGCAGGGGTTTGATCATAATTTTCTCTATGAGAAAAATATTAATTAATATTGTAATATCAAGCTTCACAACATTTAGGAATACTTGAATTAGATCAGGTTGCTAGCTTTGCTCATCTCTAATATGTTTAGGAAGGAGGAGTCATAAGAACAGGGTGGAATTTTCTTAAAGATCTGATTTTTTTTTTAAATCTCCAACCCTTGCCTGGGAATGGACCAATGCCAAATGAAGATTTGGGGCTTGTGTTGCCAAACAAAGCTGTTTACCAGGGTGGAAGATGTTCTCTGCTTGATTGTCTGTGGAAGGAGGCAGGGTTGGGATTCACAGCTTAGGAGGTTGAAAATCCCCTTGGAGAAACTAACCTGTTCCCTTCCTTGCTGCGGGGATGTTGAACAAATCTTTTAAGATCAGTTAAAGAAAAAGTCCTAGGTACAAGTCCAGGACTGCAGTGCCTGAAATTGCACTCACAGGTGGGATCGGCTCGGGCCGTCCCTGCCTGCTCCTCGTCAAACCCAACTGGAGCAGAGCAGGATGCCGTAGGGCTCCTTTTCCACAATCATCTTGGGTTTGGTGTGTCTGTTGAAAGAGTTTTTGCTGCTTGAGCACAATCAGTGGCTTAAAGGAAGTTTCAGTGTCTTAGAAGCCGTGCATTTGTTTTACACGGGTCTCTCAAAGCTTATCACATGGTAGCTGGTTGTCGTCACTGCTGACGTGGATAAATTTGAAATCGTGGCATAAATTTCTCTAGCTTTGCTGCCTCTGTGCAGGCCAGTCATTTCAATTATTTCAATTGTTTTGATTTTTTTCCCACCCCTGTACTTTAAAATTGTCTCAATGGAAAATGACAACCTTCTGCAGTATAAGCCAATCTACATAAAATTGGTGTTTCTCTATGCAGTATAATACAGTAAGTTTTTATTCTAGTGTTATAGCTCTGTTATTTCACTGTGCCCACAGTTGCAATGCTTTCCCCCGTTATGGGCACAGAGCCTGTATTTTATGCCAACAAAAATGTTTACACGAGTAGATTGTACTGGATTGGAATTAACTTCGGTATCCATCATGACCTTAGATGTCATTAGTTTTTAACAGCTGTGCTGTTTAATTGCATCAAAATTTTATGAAAAGAAAGAGGCCTAAAATAGAAATGTAGAGCACATATAATTTAAGATTATTATTCCATCTTACATGTGTGGTTTGGTTTAAAATATATGTTAAACATTCGGCAGACTGCCATTCAAATAATTAGAAAAATTGTACCTGGAAGTTAGTTATGACTAATTTAATATTAAGTCAGTGCAGTTCTCAGAAATCAGAATTTCTCTGTCACAAGCGTTCTCCTTTTTAAGATTTAATTCTTTTTAACATTAACATCAGAAACGATGCATTTGGTACCCGGAAATTCCAGTTCTTGAAATCAAATTGTAAATAGGGTTTGGAGTTTGTTGTTGTGGTTGTGATAGGCATGGAGCTTCTAATTCGTTCTCTGACCAAGAATTTGAAAAATGCCAAGTTGAATGACATGTAATAGCTGATATGTTGACATCACATATCTCAAATTCTAATATTATGGGCAAGCTGTAAAAAACTTCTTTCATAATATGAAGGGACATTTGCTTCTAGGAGAAACAGACACTGGGATTTTTTTAAATAAAATAATAATTAAAAAATTCTATTAAGACATTTACCGTAAGGTTATGTGAAGTATATTTTTCTTCCAGTATATTCAGGGTATCACTTGTCCGTTTCTCTGTGGAAAATTTACATTGAAATCAGTATGTTTTCAAATCAGTCCCCCACTGTAGCTTTTGTATACTTTTCCATGTGTACATACAAATATGTATGTATATAGTATATACATACAAGTATATACAAGTA